ACTGTAGGGGAACCCTATGTGGAACCTCATATATCAAACTAATAAAATTCGCTCGGCCATGTAAGCCACCTTAAAAAAATAAAAAAAAAAAAAAAATACAATTTCTATTAATAATAGCCTGATCCTAATTAAATGAATATCCAAAATTGAAAATTCAGAATATTTATTTAATGAAAGAAATTCAGATATAGTTTTTAAGTAGTATCATAAAAGAAATTCATTAAAATTTGAAATTAGGAAAAAAAAAGAAAAATCAAATTAAAAAAAAAATTTTTCTATATTTGCTTACAAAAAAAACCTAGTTGCATATTGCAAATAAATTCCTAATATCAGCTAGCTATTCCAAGTTACTATATTAAACAATTCTTAATCAGAAATGAAATATTTAAATTCAAAAAAAAATTTGAAAATTGTTAGCGTCTACTCACAAAAAAACCTAATCATAACTTGCAAATAAATTTCATAAATTGGCTATATTCTAATAAGAAAATAATCATTAAATCAAAGTCTTTTTTTTAAAAAATAAAAGAATTAATTTTTTTTGCATCTGTTCCAAAAATTCTAAAGTAATGCTTAAACTATTAAAAAAAAATTCTAAGAAAATTTTTCAAAAAAAAAAAAAAATTTAAATTTCAAAAAAAAAATAAAAAATAAAAAAATAAAAATAAATTCAAAGATTTTATCTAAAAATGAATGGATCTAAGATGACTTGTCAACTTGAATTAATATATTTCAGCTTCATATCTTTTTTTAGTTTTCTTAAATTTTTAATAAGAGATTCGTTAATTTTAAAACTACTATCTAGTTGCTATTCATGAAACAATAAGATCCTATTCTGTAAAGATCATATAGATATGTTTGATATTTTTTTGGAATCTGATGATCCTTCCAAACTGATAATTATCAAAGATATAATTGATTTTGTTGCTGCTACTTGGAATAAAGTAACACCCAAAACTATCTATAGCTATTAAAGAAAAACTAGCATTTTGCCAAAGGATTTTCTAAGTGAATTGTTCCTATTTAAAGAACTTGACTAAGATAAATAACCAAATATTACTAGTGAGATTCAGAGTTTAATTAGGTGGTTTTCTTTTGACTAACCTATGAGTGCAGAAGAGTATGTAATTGCTGATACTAATTTAATTACTACTAAAATACCAAATAATGATGAGATAATTGAAGCTATAAAGAATCGTAAATGTATCAAACTAGGAGATAAAGTTTTAAATAAACTAATATTTTTTACAGAAGCTTTAGAATTTATCAATAGGATCTTATTGTTTCATGAATAGCAACTAGATAGTAGTTTTAAAATTAACGAATCTCTTATTAAAAATTTAAGAAAACTAAAAAAAGATATGAAGCTGAAATATATTAATTCAAGTTGACAAGTCATCTTAGATCCATTCATTTTTAGATAAAATCTTTGAATTTATTTTTATTTTTTTATTTTTTATTTTTTTTTTGAAATTTAAATTTTTTTTTTTTTTTGAAAAATTTTCTTAGAATTTTTTTTTAATAGTTTAAGCATTACTTTAGAATTTTTGGAACAGATGCAAAAAAAATTAATTCTTTTATTTTTTAAAAAAAAGACTTTGATTTAATGATTATTTTCTTATTAGAATATAGCCAATTTATGAAATTTATTTGCAAGTTATGATTAGGTTTTTTTGTGAGTAGACGCTAACAATTTTCAAATTTTTTTTTGAATTTAAATATTTCATTTCTGATTAAGAATTGTTTAATATAGTAACTTGGAATAGCTAGCTGATATTAGGAATTTATTTGCAATATGCAACTAGGTTTTTTTTGTAAGCAAATATAGAAAAATTTTTTTTTTAATTTGATTTTTCTTTTTTTTTCCTAATTTCAAATTTTAATGAATTTCTTTTATGATACTACTTAAAAACTATATCTGAATTTCTTTCATTAAATAAATATTCTGAATTTTCAATTTTGGATATTCATTTAATTAGGATCAGGCTATTATTAATAGAAATTGTATTTTTTTTTTTTTTTTATTTTTTTAAGGTGGCTTACATGGCCGAGCGAATTTTATTAGTTTGATATATGAGGTTCCACATAGGGTTCCCCTACAGT